GAGGGATAAGTCTTCTGGGAAAAACCTGGATTTTGATAATTAAAACTGACTAGTGTTGCTTTTGCTTTCATTGTCTACTTTTTGTTTGAATATCAAACTTAGCTTTGCCAATAATTTAAGCGTGATTTCAAACTTGTTTCTTCATAAGYTTGCCTGTAATTAACAATGTGCTATTATATTCAGAAGCCCATGTCTATTTTTRTTAGAGCTCTCCTTTCAGAAATGTAGCAGCTGACATTGCTTTATTTGATTGCATTTTAAATCTTTTGGCCAAATATTCAAAATAACAAAGATTTTTCCCCTTCATTGACTTTTTATTCATTTTTTGTCAGACTGCTTGTCTATATATTGGAAAATCCAGTTAAGAGTMTGTTCAACCTTGAGAAAAGGCTTGAGGAGACCTTATCACACTGTTCCTGAATTTAAAAGGGTGGCTGAAAGGAAAATGGAGACTCCCTTTTTTTACAAGGGGCCACATGGAAAAGGAGARGGGTAATGGGTACAAGTTACTCCTGGGGAGATTCCAATTAGAATTAAAACAGAGGGAAAATTTTTACAAGGAGACCACTGAACCATTGGAGTAATCTTCCCAGGGAAGCRGTTGATTCCCCAACATCAGACACTTTCAGGATTCAGCTGGACAGGGTTCTGGGCCGTCTTGTCATTCTGATTTTGCCAGGAGATGATCCTTCAAGGATCAACCTGGTATTCTRTTATTAAGTTTTTTTATGATTTATAATCTTACCAAGTCATAAGGATGAACTAATTCACTCAGAGGAAGCACAAAGGGACCTGTGAATTTAGCAAACATACAGCTTTAATTAGCTGTATCAGTATGCATCAGTATTTAATAATGTTGTCTGGCTGTTTTAAGTTTGCATCATATTCTGTGCAAAATCTCAGTAAATATTTRTCTTGAGCTTGGAGAGTTGTGTTCATTTGTGCCAACCACAGAGTTCCACTGCTTTCAATGCTRCTCCATGCCAGAAGCCAGACTCCCCTAGATTAATTAAGCAAGATGTCTTGTGAAAAGAGTTATTGCTGGTTCCAATTAAACTTTGGAAGCTTTTCACAGGTTTTTTGACACTTTATCCACTACTTATTTTTAAACAAACTAGTCTGTTGCTTATTTTCCTACACACAGAAATGTTCCCATCTTTCAAAAACTTAATTACTTAGCCAAGCTTTTATAGAGACCTCAGTTACAATATTATTAGATGAATAAAAGAATGTCCTCACACATTGTGTCAAGCTTCCTTGAATTGAGACATTTTTTTCACAACATTTTTTGATTATTTTAAAGTATGCTCTTTACACATTGTATTATGTCTCCCAAATCAGGAAACTGTCTAAGATTTCCTTCCAGTAAAGCCAAGAAGTTTAACTTGGTAAATCTAGTATTTTCTCCAATGACTGTTTCACTTTCATAACTATTTTTTCAACAAAATTACTTACTACCTTTCACCTTGTCTCATTTAAATTCTGAGTAACACAGTGGTTATTCAGTAAGCTGAAGGAGGGTTTTTTTACCAGGAAACTGTATTCTTCAGTGGTTCAGATTCCATGTCCCATAATTTACTTACCTTTTCTATTAACTTTTTCAGAAAGTTTTATTTTGGACATGGGAATGTTCTATTCAGAACATAAATTCATTAACAGTTATTAACATTAACAGTTAATAATAATACCTTGCATTTCGGTTATCTTGGTTTGTTCTTCTGGTGTTTATATCTTCATTCAGAAATTGAGTATCTGATGTACATATTTGGATTATTTCTTGAGTTTTTCATGTTTTTCTTTTTACTGATCCTGTGTAAAGCCTGTCATTAATGCTACCCWTTTTTATAACTAAAGGTTGTACTGTAATTAAAGCTAACTTTTATGTTCATAGGATATTTTACATGGATCTTTTGCTACATGGCCACCATGTTTGCTATGTCTTTTTCATTGAATCCTGTTTTGTATTTGCTATGGACTGTTKAACTAAAACTCCAGGGATATGAATCACCATGCATACAATTTGCAAAGGCAAGGGAAAAGTTTCCTTACTGTCCTGCTGTCACAGCACAAAAAGTTCTGCTTCTGTGTGTTTTTCTACACAGTACGCAGATCAAATTCTGACCATAATCTCAAAAATCCCTGGTGATGTTTGATGGTGTTTGCAAACTCTTTGGCTGGGGTATGCCTGGTGATGTAMTATTAATTTTACAATTTTAAGTGAACATTTTTCAAAACTGTAAACCTGTTTAAAACTTAAATGTCCAATCATTATGTGGGATTCATAGCTAAGAGTGAATAATAAGGAATTTTCAAGTGCCTCTGACCACCCCACATGAGGTGATTCAGCTTTTAGGGTAGTTCTGAAGATATCAGGGCCATCAACCTCTGAATGCTAAAATGCAGTGTAGTCCAAGAAATCCTGTATTTTTGAAGTATGTAGGGGAGGATTTACAAAAATAGACTGGCTTACACACTATTCAGTAAAGCTATTTGCCACACAAGATATCTCAGAAGTCTGTGCCAAAGATAATCTTAGCCATGGCCCAATGAATAAACTGTAGCAAAATCAATTCAATAAATTTGACAGTAATGGTGAKAATGCTTGCTCCTATTATGCTACTCCTAAATTACCTTTTTCTAGTTATTTTGGTTTTCTTTGCACTGAGCTTTTACTGTGRATGTATGAGACAGAAGGCTCCAGCYGTGCTTGGKAGACAGRCTCAATGYGTCCCTTTCACAAACTATCTGATATGGTGTAAGATTTAATAATCTTGGGGATATTTAGAGGTATTTTTGCCCAAGTATATAAGTACTGTACACCCACATTTTTATTATTTGTAGTTGGGGTGTCATATGTTTTTCAGTTCTGCATGTAATTTATTACACAATATATGCCATTGTAAGATATYTGTGTAGATGTGTATTTATGTGCATATATATCCACATATCTGTAGACCCATACATACATTTCTAAACTAAAGGAATGTGCACACACTAGGTTAAAACAACAGTTATTTTTGCTTATTCTACTCCCATGATCCTTAAAATCTGAATTCTGTTCCCATACTTGCATCTCACTCTTAAACACTGCTGGTCTTTAAACAGATTTCAGCTATTACAAGTTCTGTAAATTGACCAAATGCTGTGGGAAAATTAGCATTGAAGACCTCTTATAAGTGTATTTGTTTGAACAAAACCCTTTGAAAAGRGAAAGGGATCTGGATTTTGTTTAATATACAGTGGGTTGCAAAGAATCCCTGGTATTTCAGGATTCTTTGTGCACTGACCTAGTCATAACAGTTGCACATTTCCAGACTAATAATTCTATTGAGAGCTTGAAAAGGCTTTGAGGATAGAATTATAATCCTTTGTATTAGCCATCTTCAGTGGCCTGCATTTGATCTCCATTCATTTTCCTACATRTATTGACTAAGTCACATTGTTACTGACAGTTTTCCTGGGGCTGTTAAGTGGCCTGTGCATGAGGRCCATTTTCTTCTGTTAACTCAAACCTTTGTTTGGTTTGCAGAGAAAATGCACTACTTGCAAATTGGGAATGTGGTATTGATATATTTACTTACTTACTTMTATATATCTATTAAAAAATAGTAAAATTGTGTAGAGCCAGTCTAAATCTTTTGAATGGCTGAAAAATACTTGTCTAGCTGTTCTTTGGCTCGTCCTCTCATTTTTGAAGATGTAGAGGTCTTATCACACTTAGTGTAMATGTTTCAGTTGTGTTTTTAACTGGCATAACCATCTTTGCTCCTGCTTCAGTTTTGCCTTTTTCTCTATCCTTCTGTTACTATCAAATGTTCCACAACTCCTTTTAAGGTTYTGTTTGTCCACCACACTGCAAGCCAGTGCCATGCTCATCTCAGTAAAAGTGATGGACAGCAAATATTGCCTCTRTGAAGGCAAGTTCAGTTTGAGCAGTGAAAGTGTCTGATCGTTCACTATTCRTTTGTCATTATGCACAGTTCTACTTCTCTTTGCTTGTCAGCTCRTGTTTTATTACTGGATGAAGGACAAGGGACACTACTTCCATAGTTTTAGAGTCTCATGGACCTGTCAGTCCCTGAATTCAGCAGGCACTGGGTTTACACCTGTTTATTATACATATATTCTTCATATGGATGCTGGAATAAGTATTTCCACCTTGCAAACCAGTGATTACAAACTTAGGGAGTGCACTATCCATGATGTCATCTCATTAGTTAGTCAGGGAACAAGACATTGTYGCTCTGTTTACAAACCTGTGTTTCCTTTCCATAAAGTTGCAAATAAAATAATTTTTAACCATATTAGAAAACCTTCTAGATTCTAGACCATTTTAGAAATTGGAGCCACTGCTTCTACCAGCAGGATAGACATTTTGTGGATTTTCTTTTTGTTTTCTTTTCACATAACAGATTATAGATAATTATGGTGCATTAAAAAATGCAAAAAAWTGGAGTCATATTTAATGAAAAACAGAAAACAAGTTTTCATTTTTGGATAATTGGAATTTTATTGACATGCAGTGATATTAACAGGTTTTTTTCAGGTAATAGATTACTTATAGTGATAGTGCAAATCTGGGTATTTCTGTGCAYAATGTGCTTAGAAATAAGTAAGAGAAAAGCATAATAATGGCTTTTTTTGTTCTAATGAGAAGACTTTCACTCACTAGGGTTGTTATATAGAAGAGCTAGATAAATGCTATCAATGAAATAAAAAATATAAAATTATCATTTATATCCATGGATAGATGATTGATTTTCAAATTGATATTATTTTATAAAGGAGTTASCAGGTATATTATTTATTGTTATTGKTTTTGTATTACTATTTATTAATTAGTATTTATTAAAGAGGTATTTATTTTTATATTTAAAGAAGAATGCATATTTCAGTGTCAGYAAAAGAAATTGTAGCCACTGCTTTTAAAATTCTGTTCAATGGGATTTTCAGGTCACTGTGTTATTTTCACTGAAATGACAACATACATTRTATTTCAGGTGAACTCTGTGAGGAAAAATTAGATTTCTGTGCCCAAAACCTGAATCCTTGCCAGCATGATTCAAAGTGTATCTTGACACCCAAAGGATACAAGTAAGTCTGGAGTATTGTTAGAGTCCAACTGAACCAAAATTTATATTTTTCTCCCYGGTGTAGCTTCCTTTGCTTCTGTTTAAGTGGAAGCCAGTTCTATTCCCAAAGTACTAATTTTGATCATTATTAAGCACTATGGCAGAGCAGCCCATTATTTTCATGTAAAGCTGTTTTATTATCTAAAGTAGGTTTTACTGAATTTTACTGATCCTTAAAAGTTCTAATTTGAACCAGATTTTAAATAGAAACACAGGGTAGTCTTTCTGATGGTCTATACAAAACCTTTTTCAGAGCTTGGGCAGTAGGAAAATAATTGCATTTAATTAAAATGAAATAATTATATTGCTTTTAAGGAATTATGAAACGGATTATTAGAAAGGCACACTGGAAGGTATAAAGTAAAGAAGTCCCTCCCCAGGAAAGCTAATCTTTAATTACGCCATATCCTTATCGTGAATAATTAGCATGCACAATTTAGTTGTTTTAATAGGCTTTAGGTTAATAAATACAGGAAACCTGCAGCTTTAAATTGTTCTCACAAGTACTTCTTTTATGCACAGCATGCTTTTGTGCTAAAATCAGATTATTTATTTTCATTCCCACTACTTATGAAATGACATTTTATTTAAAAGATGGCAAAAAATATTAAATGTTCAATTGAATGTGAAATTAAGTTAATAGTTTTCAACTGGAAAATGCAARAATTGATGGGTTTCTGTTGTAGTGCATTATGTTTGTTTTTTCATGTCAGTCAAATAAACCAAGTTTAGTATCTTATACTTTACTGCCTAGTTCATTAATCTTTTCTGTTACTTTCTGAGGTTTTAAATCAGAAAATAGCACATGCAGTATACTTCAAGAATGTATTTCAGATTTTTAATAGCATGCTTTATGCTCTTTTCTTAGTCATACATGTTATTGAATAAAAAATAAGACATATTTGATTGAAATACTAAATTTAAAGTTACACAGCTATTTAAAAATAACTTGCCATCTTAGAGCAAATTTTAGATACTAAAAGAAATAACACCAAGTAGGAAAGCAAAAGATCTAATTAAATCAATTAAAGACATCTTAATTAAAAAAGATATCATGATACATGTGGATGCATRGATTTGTAATCTTTTCCATTAATTTTTCACAGAGTTCTGGGCATTCACTCAGTCTTATATATGAGAATTCCCTGAAGAAATGCCACTAGCATTAGCAATGAGAGTTGCACATGGGAAAAACCCAAAACAAACCAACAAACAAAAATTGTTGCATACTCTCTTGAGGATGTGCTGTTTCTAGTTCAGTGGGGATTCAGGGSGGGCAGATGATGGGCTTTGAGACGTCTGTTAGCTCAGCAGCCGTGGAGCTATTTGCAGTAAATCAGACTGGTGGAATTTAAGGGGAAAAAAATATGCATACCCTTAAAACTGTATAAATAAACCATTGGTCCATTCATAGCTATTCAGTTGACAAAGAAAATAACCATCACTACGAGCCTTAGATTTTTTGTCTCAGTTTCACCAGCTAAGCATATTGACTATGTTTAGTGTTTGAAGCCACACACAACATCCTGTAACATTCTGCATTGCTCATAAATTGTAAAGACTGWCAAAATTATTCATGAGGGCTCTCTAGATTTAGACACAATTCTTCAGTATAAGCAGGTGTGTAAACATTTTARCTATCAACCTGTATTCATTACACGTGTAGATTCCCCACCGAATGATAAATTAAGCCATATAGTCTTTACACACAAACAGTAATKCCTTTTCTTCTCTGATTTTTAATCAATTCAGTAGTTCCTTGACTTTGTCATAACTACACTTTATCTTTAAAAGGCACTGTGCTATCCTGATTGCTTTCCTGTTTTACAGATGTGATTGCACACCTGGATATGTAGGTGAGCATTGTGATATTGACTTTGATGACTGCCAGGAYAACAAATGTAAAAATGGAGCACAGTGCACGGATGCAGTTAATGGATATACATGTATTTGCCCAGAAGGATATAGGTGAGAAGGATGTGAAGGCAGTACAAACATGCATGTCTTCTGTCAAAGTTGTTTTTTCTTGGAGATACTGATTTTTTTCCATTTTCACTCAGTGGTTTGTTCTGTGAGTTTTCACCACCAATGGTTCTGCCTCGCACCAGCCCTTGTGATAATTTTGAATGTCAAAATGGAGCCCAGTGTATTGTGAAAGAAAGTGAACCAATCTGTCAATGTTTATCAGGCTACCAGGGTGAGAAATGTGAGAAGCTGATTAGTATAAATTTTGTCAACAAAGAATCCTATCTGCAAATCCCTTCAACTAAGATCCGCCCCCAAACCAATATCACTCTWCAGGTAAGTTTGCTTTTATTGCAGATTCTCTTTTCTGGAAAGGAGAGTAAAACACTTTTCATGATGTGGAAAATTAACCAAAGTTGTTATTGACTCACTTAAGGAACTCTTCACAGTTTGAGATAGAAATCCAGAAGAGTTAATGSAATAACTTTATATTCATGTTGAAGTAGATGGGCTTATTAATAGGAAGAGAAAGAATTTTTTCAGGTTGTCCTTCAATAAAGAATTTATAATGAAGTAACAAATTATGGCAGTAAATTCAGATTCACTTAATACCTCATTTTGATTAAATGCTTAATTTTAGTTCTTTCTTAATATTTCTTTCTTTRAACTAGGTTGCTACAGATGAAGACAGTGGGATCCTGCTCTACAAAGGCGACAAAGATCAYATAGCAGTGGAACTGTACCGGGGTAGAGTGAGGGTCAGCTATGACACAGGATCATATCCAGCCTCTGCTATTTACAGGTGAACCTGGGTGAAACGCATTTCAAACTGAAACAAAACCTACATTCATTCCTTATATCAAAGTCACATTTTTAATAGACGGTTAAAAGAAATATATGCAAATGAATGTATTGTCAGACACTTAAAACCTCTTGCCAAAAGATGTGATTTTGGCTTGGCAAATGACTTGAATGCAGATATGTTAGAAAGATAATATATAATTTGATGCATTAAAATGGAATAAGAGTTACCTTTCAACAGAATATTTATGTMATATTTATGTATAAAGCTCATATGTGGTAGGGGAGCTTTTTCTTTGTTGTAACTGCCAAATAATTTCGTAGTGTGCTGAGTAAAATGAAAAACTATACTATATAAGCAGAAATTAGACTCCTCCTCTCCCCTCCCCTCCCCTCCCCTCCTCTCCCCTCATATAATGTGTGGACTTTTCCCTGGCAAGTGAAGAGAAAGCTAAAAAACTTGACTCTGAAAAAAGGCACTACTCTTGAAAAAGAAATGGCTTTTGCTTCCAAAGTCATTAAGAGACAGAATCCACAGCTGCTTCTGGAGCATAATTTTTGACGGCTTTTCAAAAATGAAATTTCTCTGGTTCTCTGAAAAATTACCATCTGAGTTTTTTAAGAAGTATTATATAACTTCAAAAGAATTTGCAGGCAGACATTGCAAAAGTGAGCAGAAAGACAACAGGCATCACTTCCTGCCTTGACTTCCCGCTTGGTGCTAAAACTACTTTTGGAAGTAAAAAAGAAGTATTAAATCAGTTTTTCTTCAATCTTCTTTTTGCAGTATTTGCACCTTTTGTGTTTTAAAATTATATATAGTGTGTATTTGCTTTCTAGAGTTTGTCACAGTGATATTGTTCTGCATTCTGTTAGGGACATTTCACTGAAAACAATTATTTTTCTATATGATTGTKCTCCTTTGGCAATATAAAATCAAAACATTAAGTATATATAGCGGTGAAATAATGTTACATTCTTAGGTGATAGCAACAAGGGAACTATTGTTTTATTAGATTATTAAAAGCATTCCACAAAAGAAAAGAAAGCTTRTAAAACACAATATAAATCTGTTTAGAAAAAACATTCCAAATAAGCATCTTAAGATTCCTTTTACTTTTTTATGTAATATGTATTTCACAAGSTTTCCTTAAAATTTCATGAAATGGCTTAACATGTAGAAATAGTGTATAGAATATTTCAATTGTATAAATTTTCAGTTTCCCAAACRATCACAATTCAAGATAATATTTTTTTTCTTTTCTTTGTGGGGTAGGGCTAAAGAAGAAGTTTAGATTGTTTTTTCAGGCATTTAATTGTTTTTGTTGATTTTTATTTTAAAAGGTACAGCTGTCTGAGAATAAGAAGCAATAGGAATGAGGATCATATGTAGTTTCAAGTTATTTTGGCTTCCATTTGTTTAATCTATGTATAATTCTTCACTCAAAATATAAATTTCCTTCTCATAAATTTAGTGCTTTCTCYGGCAGTTTTGGAATATCATAAATATTGGTAATTCACACTTGTCCATTATAGTTTTCTAGATAAAGATTGAAAAACAGTACTCACACACGCACAAAAAAAAAACCAAAAAAACAAAAAAACAACTGAAAAAAACAATAAAATAGGATAAACATGGAAGGACTTAATAACAAAGTGACCAATTAACAAACAGTCTGAATTAGGTTACTGTTCCAAAACAGTAAGCATCTCCCCTAGAAAGTTGATAATCTCTTTTGAATTATGTGACAAATGAAGGATGCAAGWGTAGTGAAGAAAGGGATTGGAAATGCAATGACGTGTGACACAATTGTTTAGACAAGCAGATAAATTCTTTTGGTGTTCTTATTTTTGTTTCCATTATTGTTGTTGTTATTAAGTTCCATCTCATTTCAACTAAGTATGAGGGTGAGTTTGTGRGATATTTAGAAACTTTCATTTAATAGTTGAACTGAAGTGTTCTGCTGTTGAGGAAAGGCTGAGGGCATTCCTTTTGTCTTTCTACAACTGTGTGAAAGGATATTCGAGCCAGGTGTAGGTCAGACTCTTCTCACAAGCAAAAAGACCAGATGGAAAGGTCTCAACTTGCACCAGGAGACGTTTAGATTGGATATTAGGAAAAATTGCTTCATATGAAGGGTCGTCAAGCATTAGAACAGGCTGCCCAGGAAAGTGGTGTAGTCACCATTCATATAGGTATTTAAGAGATTAGATATGGCACTTAGAGACATTGTTTCATGGTGGACTTGGCAGTGCTGGTTTAGYTGTTGGACTTGATGATCTTGGAAGTCTTTTCAAATCTAAATGGTTCTGGGATTTCATGATTCTATTTTGGAAGCCATAGATACATTTCTTCATTTGTATGTAGGTATATGTGTCCATCTGGTGATAGCTCTACAAACTGGATACTGTTTAATTTCTGTTTCAGGTTCTAGAATGAAGTATGTTGTAGCACAGAATCTTTTATACATCATACTCTATTCCCTTCATCATTTCCAGTTCTTACCTTTTTACCCTGCTAGAATCTTTGTGATATGTCTAGCCCTTTTTAAGATCTTTGCCTCTTTTCATCAATTCATTGCAAGTTGTCTTTCTGTACCTTTGTTACCTCTTAAAGCTGTCTCCTGGAATGTTTCCAGTCCTTCCTTCAGTCCCTCCGTTTTGTTTCCCTTCTCCCTTCACTCTCTTCATTTTTTTTCTAAGCCAGCTGCTTTACTAGTGGGAGCTGACTGCAGAAAGAGCCATCATCACAAAAGCACTCATTAATTAAACAGAGAAACAAGATGAGATGATGGCACTGCCAAGACCAATAAATAATATTCATTCATTGGAGATGGTTATTTAGAAAAAATTGATCCACTCGTGTTTTGTTCTGTCTGGGCATACATTTTTTAATGTAAACTTTTTTTTACAAAAAAAAAAAACAAAACTTTTCATTTTGTAAACTAGTTTTCATCATATATTTATTGGAAATATGGGAATATTTCTTCCCTGATCATTATTCTTCTACAGAGTACCAGAAGCCTTAAATCAGTTCTTCATACAGCTTTTCATTAGGATCTCTGCATTTAGCTCTCATATCTCCAATGGGAAATGGGCTAGAAGTAATGTAAGTGGATTGGCAGGAAATATTGCAGATATGCCTTGATTTTATTTCCCTTCAATTTAAACCACCCTTACCTAGGAGGGCTCCTCTTCCTGCAGTAAATTTTTACCAGTAAAACAGTTTAAACCAGAGGCTTTTAATAATCACTCTTATCAGAGATACATTCCCATTACACATTATGGTTTCAATATCCCTAGAATGACCTCTTGCCTAAAAAATGCATTTTCTGTGTTGCTTCTTATTCTTTTAAATACTATTGTGTGAAAAGCTGATAATTTGTAAAATAAGTTTCCTTAAAAAAAGAACATTATACTAGGGTTTCTTGYTTCCTGAAGTCAAGAAGTCATATGCACTTCGATTTTTTTAGCACATTTTTTTTTCCTGGATACATTGAAATGTGTTAAATAACTTAACTATGCCATCTTTTACATTGCTTGATCACAGCAAACAAACCTCTTGATACCTTGAGTAAATCTTGCTCTTTAGGAATGACGAACCCTGACCATTTCCTTTCCCCCATGGAAAGTGGCAGTCCCCTCCTGCCAGTTCCCATAAAGTGTTTATTGTGCCAGTGTCTGCTCTGTCCTGTGTTCACATTTTCACACAGAGCTGGGTTTAGGTARAGCATGTATGCTACCGTGCCCATCTCTGATCCACAGTGAGCAGAGGCTCTTTGCAGAGTTGGTAATAAATGGCTGAGAAGCTATTTAATGTGTCACAGCTGTGAATGACCATGCACACTGCTGATCTGTTCCAGGACAAAAGCAGTTAGGTTAATTAAAACATCACTAAGGATGTTTTAAGGTAATTTGCTTGATTTTTGCCTTGAGATTTAGGAACCTAATCTCTTTCAGCTCTCCTGCTTTCTCAATGAGGAGAGCTAATTGACTGTGTGACTGTTCAGTCCATTTCAGGCTATCACACAATTGGTTCGTTTAAATTTTCAAAGGCTTAAGCTCACTTATTTGATGGTTTTCTGAAATAAATAAAGGCTTTCATGGGAATGCTTTTAATGTATGGTCCCTAAAATACAGCTCACACCTTCCACGCATATTTTCAGTTCTATTTCTGCAGTGAAAAATAGACTATAAGTTCTGCAAGTACAATGATATATTCAGTCACAGAATTGAGTAATGATGTTCTTCCTGCATTTAAGCAATTGCATATCAGCAATTGAGGCTGATATGCACAGGCAGCCATTTCTTGTASCTCATATCATGAGTTGGTTTGTCCTTGTGCAGGGTAAACACCATGCTTGAAACAAGCATTTTCTGCTTGACACCCTTCAGGCATTCTCCTACTAGGGAGTTCAGATCTTGTTAGTAAGCAGAAGGTATATGTAGACAAGGAAAAGAACAAAAAAAAGACAATATTCATATTCACTGTACTAGTGAGAAGCTGAACACACTTAAATAACCATGACCAATAAAGATAACAAAAACTTTATTGCTAGTGTCAATGGAGCTGTCTGGATCAGGATTTTGTCTGGCARGACTAAAGTTAGATGCAGTTCCATGTTCCATGAAGTAGTAGATTTATGTATCACTGGAGTTGACTCAGGCCTTCTTCTTCAAAATGTGTAAACCCAATACTCTGCAAAATGTAGGTTCCACACAGACCTGCATGCAAATATGATCTTGAAGTAACATTAGAATCACGTAATGGTTTGGGTTTGAGTGGACCTTTAACAATCACCTCATAGTTCCACATTCCTTGTTAAGGGCAGGAACAGCTCCCACTAGATTAAGTTATACAAAGCCCCATCCAACCTGATCCTGAGCATTTCCAATAAGAGGTCCACAAATTCTCTGGCAACCTATCCCAGTTTTTCATATTAGCCCACCCTCATATTAAAGAACTTTTTTTTTTATGTCACTTCTTTTACTCGGCAGACTCTATTTAATCTGTCTCTACCCTCTCTTAGTTTAAAACAGTTACCCTGTGTCCTGTTACTCCAGGCCCTGGTAAAAAGTCTCTCTCTGTCTTTCTTCTAAGCCACCTTTGAGTATTGAAGAACTGCTATAAGATCTCCCTAGACCCTGCTCTTCTTCAGGCTGAACAACCCCAACTCTTTTAGCCTGTCTTCATTGAAAAAGCGTTCCAGTTCTGTCATCATTAATGCAGAAGAAGGAATGTTACATCATATTGGCTTTTAAGCCTATTTTTGTGTCTTTGCTTAAAATGTAGTTTTCAGGAGAATGCACTCCTAGAGAAGTTCTGTTCTTAAACTCTATTGACTCTTAAATGAGAAGAAGGTAAGAAACTGTTCTAACCAGACCGTCAATTGTTTAATATTGTTTGTTTTGCAGTGTGGAAACAATTAATGATGGCAATTTCCACATTGTGGAGCTCCTAGCTATGGATCAGGTTCTCTCTTTATCTATTGATGGAGGAAGCCCCAAGATAATTACCAACTTGTCCAAGCAATCTACTCTGAATTTTGATTCTCCGCTGTATGTAGGAGGTAAGAGGATCTTACTGCTTCTTACTAGAAGTATTGTAAATAATTTAGTCTGGTAACATGCTTTAAGAAGCACATGCTGAGACTGATTCATTGATGTAACACCTTAAAATGAARCTTTGGTCGTTAATGTCAATCGTTTCAATTTTAAGAAATATCATGTCCTCAAACTGCACCTGTTGCTTTTTTATAGCTATGTTTATTTTTTATAACTGTAGCATTTTGCAGTTTTCTACTGTTTTTTAGCCTTTTAATATACTGAAGATGAATGCTTAACATTGTTTAGCTTCATGAAGATTTAGTATTGCCTGTCCAGAAAGTGTAGAATAGCATCATTTTGTTCTGCTCATTTTACATTTCTRTTTCCCTGTCCTGGTATCTGCAGGAAATGATAGCAATGTATAAAGCCATGAAGTACAATTTATGTCTGGAGATCTTATTCCTTAGGGCTGATAGGAGTTAGGGCACGGGTAAGGAGGGAACCACTGGACAGTTGCCTCACAGTATGTGTCAGGGCTTGTTTTTCATTTGTTTTGAGAAAAAAAAAWTATTTGTTTAAGTAAAACTTAAAAATTATTTGAAAAATTTTGATCATTTGATGCAATTTACTCTGTAGAACGATAAGTTCAAACACACTCTTTTACTAGCAGTTCCTGTTGGATTTCTGATGGACCTGTGCAATCTAGGTAAAATTCAGAAAATTCAGCCAACACTTTGTGCCTCCTTGCTTGGTAACAAGTCTGAGTTCCTAGTGATCAGACATTCAGCATGGTTTTTAATTACTGCTTAAATTCTACAGATTTTCATGCTCTGCTTAGTTTAACCTTAAACTCTTACAAGAGTATACAATGCATGTAAGGATCTGAGCTCTTCTTCCTGCAAAAGAATACTTTATTTTTCATTTTGCCTAATTCTTTTCTGTCTGAAAACAACTTTTTATGGTTCTCTCCTTGCTTCTTTACCCTGCAGATCTGTGTCTCCATTAGGAGAATCATAATMATCTGCATTATTATCTTCAAGTATCAGAAGAATAACTTTTGGAAATAATCTTTTCCTTTAATGGTTTGATACCTAAGATCAGCAGTCTTTTGCATTCTAGTGCTTATTCTTTAGGGAGGTCCTGCGATTATTTTGTTATAATTCTTCACATTTAGGCTCCAAAACGACAATTATTTCTGCTGTTGTAGAAAATGTTGATCCAAAAGGAAATGAAAACCAATAATAGAAGCACACTGTAACAAAATAGAGGGAAAAAAACTCAGTAGGTTGGAATCCAGTTCTTAAGCCTTCCCCTTTAATTTATGTATTTATGATTTTTAAAATTCTCAAGATGGTGAATTTTCACTCTTGTATCTTTATATTGCCCATCTTTTTGAGATTCATTAAATTTTTTCTTATCCAACTATATCTAGATTCTTAAGAGAATTTGATCACACATTTCCATCAGTTAAGAACTTATATTCTCACTAGGATTTTATGCAGTATTTTTATCTTTGCCAAAGCCTTAGTTTGACACCTATATCATCATGTAGCTTACACTTACTCTTACCACTTCCCTGCTAAAATGGCATTTCTGATAAGCATCACCTGGCAGGATGATCATCATCAGCTGGCAGGATGAAATTCAGACTTGACAGCAAGCCCTTGTACAGTGTGTGCTCTCCTTCCCTCTCATTCCATGTCTCCCTGTCTTCCCTCTTCTCTTTTTTTTTTTTTTTTTTTTTTTTTTNTTTTTTTTTTTTTTTTTTTTTTTTTTTTTTTTATGTTACTCTTGGGTCACAATATTTAGCTTGATTTGAAAGGGATAATTTAACATTATTTTTACCAAAGTCAGCTAATTGATTTATAACTTTTGGAGTTAGAAATATTGATTTAACTTGTGGAGTTTTTTTACCTTTTCTGAGTGTATGGCTCTTTTGTGTGGTCAGAATACACATGCTTGGTATTTTTCAGCCTTTCTATAACAAATTTCAGTAAATCATACTGAAAGCATGTGCTTTTGTAAGAATTCTTAAGGGACAATCTGTTTCTTCTCAAAAATTCTTCAAAGGAGTCAGACATCACTGATACTTCATGTTCTTCTCTCAAAAACTAGAGCATATTTTACTAGTTGAGAGTGGCACCTTGTTTCATAGATGTCCATATTTCTGAGACAGGTAGGGTATCAGCTGCTTCTTATTTGTGCCTGCAGTGTTCTGGCAGCATGTAGAATAAGATACCTTTTTTGACAGTTTTATTTTGTGACTGTTATTTAAAAGATGTTTTTATTATTTGCCTCCTTGAACAGTAATTTACCTGTAGTCAGGTTCAATGTCCAAAAGCTTAAAAGGGGGTGGGAACTACTCTCTTACTTTGCCAAAAATAGATCTGAAATATTTGTCTGTATCATTTCTATGTCAGTTCTTTCCTAACTGGTAAARAACGTTTATATAAAAATTACCTGAGAAATATTGCCAAAGAATAAAGAATATAAGCAGGATTTACACACACTTTGGCCTTCTGACATTTAATAGCTTGCCAGAAGAAGCAATAGTGCATAGGCTGAAAGCTTGTGAGTATGCTTGCATTATGTTTCYAAATGTCTTCCTTACTAGAGAATAGAGACAGAAATCTTCTGAATCATGTGTGATTTACCTGCTATTATCTGGTACCATAGAGACATGCTTATATGGTTCCCAGAAATCACATCTGAGTTTGCTGACACTTTCAAGTATAACTTMTAGTTTAGCATTGCATTGGTGTGCTTTGTTTTAGACACCTTTTATTTTTACAAAGAGTAAGTTCAGTGCATCTGTTCTGCTGAGACACTTCAAGCTCTTCCATGARCATTAGCTGAGAGTGGCTTTTAAGGGAGACAGCAAGGTAAAGGAACCTTGATGATACTGCTCTGTCCCTGGTTTGAGAATGTGGCRAGTACTTGTGAGGAAATGGAAACTYGTAATTGTTTGCAGCCTGAGTCCTTTAGTAGAATASTGCAAAGTCTATTTTACTGTTGTGGCTTGAGCCTGGCTGGAAGCCAGGTGACCCCCAAAGCCACTCTATCACCTGCCCCCCCTTCTCAACTGGACAAGGGAGAGAAAATGTAAAGAGAAATGCAAAGAGAGAAATGRAAGCTCATGGGTTGAAATGAGGATGGGGAGATATTCCTCACCAATTATTGTTGTGGCAAAACAGACTCAACTTGAAGTAATTAGTTTAATGTATTACCAGTCCAAATGACAGTAGGATAATGAGAAGTAAAACATTTCTTAAGACCTTCCCCCACCCTTCCCTCTTTCCCAGTCTCAAGTTTTTTCTCTCTAATTCTCTATCTCCTTCCTGCAAGCAATGCAGGTGGATGAGGAATATGGGTTAWGGTCAGTTCATCACACTGTTTCTGCCATTGCTTCCTCCTCAGGGAAAGGAGTCCTTCCCTCTTCCAGGGTGGCGTTCCTCCCATGGGAGACAGTTCTCCCATGCTCCAGCATGGGTCCCTTTTTTCCCATGGGTGCAGTGCTTCAGGAACAGGCTGCTCCAGCATGGGTCCCCCACAGGGTCACCAGTTCCAAGACCTGTTCCAGTGGGAGCTCCTCTCTTCACAAGTCCTGCCAAGAGCCTGCTCCAGCACGGGGTCACAGTCTTCTCTCGAGCATCCACCTGCTCCATCCACATCCTCCATGTGCTGCAGGTGGATCTCTGCATCTCTGTGTTCCTCCGTGTTCCTCCATGGGCTGCAGGGCACAGCAGCTTCACCATGGGCTGCTCCTGGATCCAGCACCTGGAGCACCTCCTCCCCCTGCTTCACTGACCTCAGTATCTGCAGAGCTCTTCCTCTGACATATTCTCACTCTTCTCTGCTCACATCTGTGCAATTACTCCTTTGGGGTTTTTTTTCCTTTTTAGATATGTTATCACAGAGGTGCTGCTGCCATCACTGACTGTCTTGGCCTTGGCAGAATTGACAGGTCCATCCTGGAGCCAGCTGCCATTGGCTCTCTCGGGCATGGGAGCACTTCTGGGAACTTCTCAGAGAAGCCACCTCTGTATCCCCTCCACTACCCAAACCTTGCCACACAAACCCARTAYRCTTACCTAATTGATCAGATCAAAGAAGATTAAGCTGTTCAACAGTATGGATACAATATTGTTAATTTCTATAATCACTGAAGCCTAGCACAATTGAAATTACCTCTAAATGAAAGGCAGTCTACCTCATTACGTTGCACAGCATTTCTGCATGACTTAACAGTTCAGAGGAATATAGAAAATTATTAGAAGTATCAGTTTACATGGTTAAGGAGCAACTATGCAGAACATTGCTGCTTTCTTGTCATTATCTAAGTACCAGAATGAAAATTGTCGATTTTGTCTAGGAATAAACCTATGCAGCCAATAAGAATATTTATTTTCAAGTAAACAGATCCTTTTTGATATCTTTGCACTTTGATATCTTTTACTTGTGAGTCTTGGGACTCATTTAGGCATTTGTGGATTCTTTATTAGAAAGTAATAACTTAAGGACTATCTATTATAGGCAATATGTTGGCCATAAGTTAAAAGAAAAAAAGAAGCAGGGGCAGGAGTAGAAGACACTTCATGTTTACAAGAAAAAGTTTAATAGTAATGCTCCTTCTGAGTTATTCTTGAATTTTCATAATGGGATAAATGCATCACATACACCCACGCTTTATTACACCAGTAACAATTATAGACTGTAACAGAGGAATTACTCTGAAAATGGTCAACACTGGGGACATTTTCTTTATCAAAAAGTTAATACACATAAGTAGTGTGATATTGAATTATTGTTATTATTGATTGATTTTAGGCTGTAATGGCAAACTATGAATTAGCTTTTGGTTTTATTTTCTTAATCTGTTTTTGAGATATGCTAAAGAAAAGTATTTTTRGTTTTGGAGCCTCGACCTATTAAACTGTCCTTTCCAAGAAATTTTCCATAGCAAAACTTCATATTTGAAATGTGTATGCCAGCTCCAGTTTGATGAGCCAGTCCTACTAAAATACTTCAGCTTACAAAAAATGGCATATCAGCTGCTACATTTCAGTAACTTTTGGTTTTCTGGGACTCAGAAACTATGTGCTATCCTGGACTTAAATGCACTAAGTCAAAAWGAGGCAAAGCTGACCTTTTTACAGGTGTGAGCTTCTTAAGTCTTGCATACATCTCTTAACTGTGACTTAGAGACTTACAGGTTTGGAGCATGCTTGACAACCAGGACAATTTCCAAAAACTGGATTACTGGTCATGGTTCTAGTCTGAATAGCTATGTATAATTAATGAAGAAGAAACATTTCTTTAAAAGTGTTTACAAAATAGAAAAAATGGTATAGCAAACTGTGAGAATTATTAAACTAATTATTTGCTATTATTAATTTCCTAGGCATGCCTGTGAAAAATAACATAGCAGCTTTACGCCAGTCCCCAGGGCAGAACGGCACTAGCTTCCATGGCTGCATCCGTAATYTGTACATCAACAGCGAACTCCAGGACTTCAGAAATGTGCCACTGCAAGTGGGAATTCTGCCAGGTTGTGAGCCTTGTCACAAGAAAGTTTGTGTGCATGGAACATGCCATGCTACAAGCCAGTCAGGYTTTACCTGTGAGTGCGAAGGAGGATGGACCGGACCACTCTGTGATCAACAAACTAACGACCCATGTCTTGGAAATAAGTATGTCCTTCCTCAAGAAAGAACAGTATCATATGCATCTAAGTCTCCTGTTTTGTGTATTTTTTTCATAAAAGTTCACACTTGCAAAAAGCAACATAACCTGGGCATGTAAAAGTGAAAACAACATCCAGGTTATGGTATATATTCTTTCCATTAACCAAATAAGGAAAAGTCCCCAGTTTAGGGGAGCAGATTCACACATCTCACTGAAATTCTGCCTAAACCCTGGGAGGTGCTTTTGCATACTTCTGTATGGGCTTCTTTCRTAATGACCTGCATGTATGCATCCGTGGGTATGACCCTTGTCATAGAAATAATTTTGAAGAAGTTGAAAAAAAAATCTATTTGCTTATTTTAAATTGTATGGAATGAGGTAATACTATTATTATTATTATTAATAATAATAATATTCTCTACCTTTTTTTTAATTATACAATAGATAGATCTAATATTTTATATTKTCAGAGTACCCCAGGTTTTAGCAGGAAAAATTTCCATCTTAATGGTGAACTTCTGTTTAAGTCTGTGTGCATTATGTCTCTATACTGATTTGAGCAGAAAATTTTAGTTTATATGTCTATAGAAAGGTTCACGTATATAAATGTGTAGAGAGAGGAAAAGATATGTATATTTGTGTATATGACAATGTTGACATCTATGCATGTTCATCTTTTAAATTTACTGTAGAGACAGATTCAATTTGGGTTCATGGACTCCCAGCACAAGAAGATCAGAAACTTCAAAAGTTCAAAGCTCTTCTGTATTTATTGATATTGAGCAACAAGATTTCATTCTGTGTGTCTGTCCTCATTACAGCTTGGCAAAAATCTTTTTTTTGTTGTTTGTAAAGTAAGCCTGTTTGGATCTTTTGGCTGCTGCTTTTTCAGTGGAGCATTTGCCTATGTCATTTTTAACTATTAAGGACCAGTGGCATCAGTTTGCTAAGAGATTCTAATAAGATGATCTTCAACTCCCCTGTAAAATTATGTTTAAATCATCTTTTCGCATAGTGTGTGGGCAGTCTGGCCCTTTAAAGCTTTATATATTTCAATTGGCATGCTTTGCAATGCAGTTGGCTTTCTTTATATTGGTTAGAGACTCTTCCAGTACCATTAAGTTTTGAGTTCTTCCCAAAGCTAGAGCAGTCAGGCTTTGAAGGATGGCATTWTAGCATTTCATTGTTTATGGGCCCTTTTCTTAACCTGTCCTATTTCCCWGTAACTTTAAAGAAAGGAAGTCACAGCAGGTTAAAAAACTTTATCCTTTTATACTTTAGGATTAAAAAATAACATCAAAGTGAAAGCAGAAGTTCTACCATAAGAAAAGCCAAAGAATTCCTTTAAACTGCCCTTGAAATATTAGATTCTTCATAAGTTCTTGTAACTGCACACATTAGTACTCAAACTGACTGCCTTTTTTCACTCAATTACAAAATTATCAGTGTCAGATGCAGACAGTATCAAAGATAAAAGTAAATGAGCACAGCATTAATATTTTGCTTGCTCTTGAAAGTATTGGGTTTGTTTAAGCTGTTTACAGTTCTGTGAGCTTTTAAGAGAGAAAGCCAACCCAAAATTTCTTATTTGGAGTGGAGGAGGGCTTTGTTTTTCTTTACTTCCTGGAGATTTAAATCCTGTGTTTCTTGATTCATCTCTAAATTGTCTATGGCATAGATTCATTTTATCAGTCTAATAGAGTTTGCCATTCTGCTTTATCTGAGGTACAAAATTGTCACTATGGTCTCAGTTTCGAAAATGTAGGTGACCTTTTAGAGATCCCTGCACATCACGAAAAAGCTTAAGACAGATTTATTTTACCTACATCTAGGTGCTTAAATTCAAAATATATTGTCCAAAGTTTRTTCTCGAGTCAGTAAAGGAATAAGCACATTCCAGAAGAATAAATTAGACCTCAAGTTGTCTAATCACCCTCTGGATAAGCTCATTTCTCTTTCATGACTCTGTCTGGAGCTTATGGCAATTTTACATCTAACATGAGTAGCTGGTACAGGTACCTAAAATTAGATGAGATGAAACTGTGCCCAAGAGTTTGCACTTAGCTCGATGTTCCTTTCAGTGCAGTCTGAAGATGAAATTTAGAGCTTCAAAGAGCAGGTGGAAACAAAAGTATGAGAGTTGGCATTTGCTAAAATTTAATCATCTTCTAAGTCAAAGCAAAACTTTACCAAAGATCTTGACACAGATTGCTTTGATATCTAAAGCCTGTGTAGAAAATGACAGGATGTCAGTGCCACCTGAGTAACTTTGTAGATCAGATGTCCTAAAAGTGGATGTTTCATAAATGGAGAAAAGATCAAATGCTGAACATAATGAAAACTAAACAAAAGCTATCTGCCCTGTGATACTGCCTAAGCCTTCAATTTTGAACTGCTTAATAACAGTCTTGGAATATCAGACTTCAACCACAGGAACAATTTTTAATTTTTGTAGAGAACATAGTTGCTTCAAAATACAGACTAATAGAGATGTTTGAGGTGCTTAAACTATTAGTTTTATATTTACTGTTTTTAATACCAAATTGGTTATGTTACCTTAAGGATTTCAAAAAGAGATGTTGCTCTTAAATAAGTTCTTCTTTTACTACATGCAATTTTAGGTGAATCTTTGCTATCTTCAAATTGAAACAAATTATTGCATTTTAGATCAAATAGGATTATTATATTTATCTTTTTATCTAATGCTTTTCACTTATTTAGGTGGCTGTCACAACATACTAAGGAGATTGTGAGCTACRGAATCTTACATTATAGAGAGGAGAGGAAAAATATTAGAGAGGGAAACATCAGGAAGGGTGACTTGTATGTCAGGATTGCTTTCCTMCCCACAGCGGAATTTTCACTGTGATCTTTCTAGGAAACAGTATGTAGACAGAAAATGATTATATCAAAACAACAGTTAAAGAGAATAACATTATTTTTGGAAGGACATTACTGACCCTGTGCTACCAAATGAAGAAAGGGGGAAGTGATTTTATTTCAAGTCATTGGTGATGTTTTCAGAAGATGAAATCCCCTAATGTTCAGCTTACACCTAGGAACAGGTAATTAAGCATCTTCCTTTTGGGAAACATCACCTCTCTCTCAAAGAGAGGTAAGACTGGCTGTGTGTTCCCATCTGATGCTGCACATCAGAGCTTAGCAGATGCAGCTTAACTCACAATCTTTTTTCTCTAACAACAAGATTTGAGCCTGCCACAAATGTTTATCAAAGCTCAACTGGGAGATTAGCTACCCTAATCACTTTGGGTGAGACTTGATAACGCTTAACCTCATCTAGTGTGAGGTTCAGCATGAATTGTAGATGAGTTCTGTTGCCTTGCAGGGAAGCACAGACCTGCCTCACACATTACGAGACCCTGCTACTGGCAGTTGGCAATGRGACTAATGTATTAGAAGGGAAAGTRTGTGTTCAGCTTGAAACTACCATTGCTTGAGYCAGAATAGTTTCTGTTAGGAAGTGTCTGACCTGTCTTTGTGCTGGGAGCCCCATATTTCATGAGTGACAATATGGAGTTTCTTATAAATGATACACGAACCAGAATTTCAGGTGAGTTTTTTCTTTGGCTTGATTTTGCTGTGCTCTTCTCAAAAGCATGCTGAAAATCTAGGAAGACAGGAAATGTTGTTTTTAGTAAGTGTGGCCTGTAAAAATTTTCCATAACACATCTACAGTGGCTATTTTCTGGTGAGAGAGAGTTCTGTACTGCAGCTTGTTTTRTGTAAACCTGCATACCAATTATAAACCACTTCACTGCATCTCACTGAAAAAGTCTATTAGAAACAAAAGCAATTTCTTCTAAGTAGAGTCCAAAGTATTTGTAGTTAATGTTGCTTAGCCTGAACTCTGATGAATAATTTATTTTTATTCTCTTGGGCTTGTTTCCCCTGTAGATGTGTGCATGGTACCTGCTTGCCGATCAATGCGTTTTCATACAGTTGTAAATGCCTGCAGGGACATGGGGGAGTCCTCTGTGATGAAGAGGAAATGCTGCTTAACCCCTGCCAATCCATCAGGTGTAAACATGGCAAATGTAGGCTTTCAGGACTTGGGAAACCATATTGCGAATGCGGCAGCGGATACACGGGGGACAGTTGTGATAAAGGTAAAAAAAATTAATTAATGTTGTTGTGGTCTTAGAAAATAGGCTTTTTTTTTTTTATAAAACATGAACAGCCAAGCACATGAACAGCCAAAAACATGACCAATTTTTTTTTCCACAACACACACATTTGTTGCTTTTTTTTCTACCATAAGAATTTATCTTGATGAGACAAAAATCAAGCCTTTCCCATGAATTTGTTTACATTTTGAAGATTTTTTCATCAAATGTTTTGCTGTGAAAACATTTCTTTTTTTTTTTGCCTTTATTCAGAAACACTTTTTTACTATATTTAACTATTACCTTTTACCTGCTGTATCTTTCTGTATTTATTGTTTCTCTACCTTCTGCAACTGAGAAGCCAAATCCAATGATTCTGCTCCTAGTTTTATCACAAACTCTACTTTTGACCTCTCAGCTTCAACTGATTTATCACAGCGAATTATGCAGGTGAGATGGATGAAAACAGGATGACTGTTCCCCCTACCTTTTTCTTTTTCCTTTGTCTATCAAAGCTCTCCCTTTCCCTCTCTTTCCCTTACCCCAGATGGCATTTATTTTGTATTGTACATAGATGTGACTAGAAGAATACGGTTGTAGAACTTTTAACAGATGTCTCATTTTTAGCTGGCTTTATACCTCAATAATTTATGAAGTTAGCGGAATGTAACTTATATTAAGTAAGAGTTTGAATAATATTAAACTCCAGGTCTAATAAATTAAATTGCATGCTCTCTGAAATATTTCCCTATGGTAAACAGAACCAGCTGCAAGCAATGTAGGAACAGAAGATGTGTATTTTTATAAAAGAGGAAAAGATTTAAGCTTCCAATTTTCTTGTCATTGTAATAGCTTCGTATTTATGGTTTACATATACATAATATAAACTTTACTGAAAATAGGAGGTATAGGGAATGAAACCCAGCATTAATCAAATTATGTTTGGTAGAACCACAAATTTCCAGTACACAGTCTAAGTCAAACTTTAAAATACCAATCCCAACTGCAAACAGCAACACAGCACCTCCCTGTGTAACTCATTCTTTCACCTGTGTCTCAAAATTGTATCTCTCATTTTAAATGTCGTTTTCCACAGAAATCTCTTGTCGAGGGGAACGAGTCCGAGATTACTACCAAAAGCAGCAAGGGTATGCTGCGTGCCAGACGACCAAGAAGGTATCGAGATTAGAATGTAAAGGCGGCTGTTCCAGCGGGCAGTGCTGTGGGCCACTGCGGAGCAAGAGGCGGAAATACTCCTTCGAGTGCACTGACGGGTCRTCGTTTGTGGACGAGGTTGAAAAAGTGGTGAAGTGTGGCTGTACAAATTGTCCCTCCTAAGTGTCCCTGTCACACTTGTCTTTTGAAAATGTATACTTATTGACCGTGTCGGACTAATTAATGCTTCATAGTGGAAATATTTGAAATATATTGTAAAATACAGAACAGACTTATTTTTATTATGAGAATAAAGACTTTTTCTTCATTGAAAAAAAAAAAAAAAAGATTCAAGTGCTTGAACTGAAACTTCTCATACCCAAGAGGAGCTTTGAAGAAAAAAAAAAGACCTGGTAACATTGCAGCAGAGATGGGAAACTTTAACTGCTTTTAACATGGATTCTTCTTTATAACATGCTGAAGATACACTGACACTATACACACGTGACTTTCAACTTAAGAGCTCAGAGATGAAATACTGACCAGAACACAAGGCTTGCTTTTTCACTTTCGTATYGGTCAATTTTATTGTCTTGACAGACCATAACAATCACTTGCCTATGGATGAGGAAGCTTTATGAGCAAAAAGAATCAGAATATACAGGAATAACAATTGTTTGAAACACATTTTGTCTTTTGGAATTATTAAGCATCTTGAGAAGATGGGGTCTCATTTAATGAATGGGAAATGGGAGATACAAGAATATACTATAATCCTGAAATCTCCTGATGATGTGTRCTTTTATGTCAGCATGTTAGCAAAAGAAGCATAAAAAAGTGTTTATCTTCCCTTTTACAGTATTAATTTTTTGTAATATAAATGTTCAGGGGATGATAAAATAGATTATTGATGGATAAATTAGTAATAATATGGATTTCTGTTTCTATGAGTTCTAAACAACTCTATACAGTATTCGGTTTCATTGAGAAATATTTATTGTATCAAAGTACATTGTACTTAACCCTTTTAGGCCATCCCTTTTACTGTTTTTTCAATGCTTTAATATATATTAATTTATATTTGTCCCAGTATTTTTGTAATTTTTTTTAAAGGACTTAAAAATCAGGATTTTTTTGCAATAGAACTAACGTAGCATGTCGTCTTGGGGTAAATGTTTTCAGTCTGTTTTTTCTTTTCCATTCCCTTTTACTTTTCCTTAGAATCTGACCAMTTGGTGTCACTGAATAGAAAGTGGTGACAATATATTTCACATATAGCAGATATTCAGGACACCTTCCAAGAACCTGTAATATATGACAGAAAATGTCTTTACACTAGATGGCAATTGTAGAGAAGTTAATTTTCCCTATATACAGTACTTACAGAAAATAAGATGGCGTGTAGAAAATGACATTAGAAGATAGATCTTTATAAATTAATGTTCCCATGGAGCTCTTTACCTTTTTTATAAAAAAGAAAAAGAAGGCTGTGCTATCAAAAACTGTGATTTTCCCCAAATAATAAAACTGCTTTACTGCCCTAATGTTCCCCATGTTAACATGTTGCTGCTAAATTATAATGTAGAATTGGTAATCAATAGTGGGTTGTGTTCTTCTTTCAGTAAAACCCAGGGTACCCTGTAAAAATGCAGATGTTTTTTCAATTTTATTTTATTATTTTTTTTACAAAAAAGTTAGATGTACATGTGTAATGCAGTGTGCTTTGTCATATTTGGACTGATATCAGTAATGCTACTGATGTTTGTAAATTAAACAGATATTTACTTCATTAACAGCTTTTATTTGTATTCTTCTGAGAAGTTTAAATTGTCTAGCAGCCTTTAATTAAACACCTGTTGCAAAGAACATTTGGTAAAAAACAGAATAAAACCCAACCCTAGATCTAGTGTATTCATTGCTGAAAATCTGAAGAAGGAATTGATCTTGGGATGATTACATCTAGAGGCAGTGAATTCTTAAAATGTTGGTGCATTATGAACTCAGATGAACTTATACCAAAACTAAGAAAATACTTATAAATAAAGAGCAGGAAAAGGTAAATTGATTCTATCCTAATGCTTTAATAGTTATAAAAATGGCAATTTGACAGTTATTCTAGCAAGTAATTTCAGTCTTCAGAGGGATTAATTTTCACTGATATTTCACTAAGTATTGTAAATTTAAGCAATTGGATGGGATGATACTTAACCAGGTTTATTTTCTCTAATATATTTTTTATAAATAATTCTGTGTTTATTTTACTTAGTCTACTTTAGAATTTGTCTAAATTTCCAATGAAGCAGCCTTTGGCATGAGGCATTCTTTGCAGCTTCTATAACCGCTAAAACTCTGCTCTAAAGAGGGGTAGCTTTGCAGGTAAAAATGCCTAACAGTCCTTAAGTGGTCTTCTTGCATATGGAAAGATCTCTTGGAGCTCAAAGTCCCTGTACCAACGGTCTGGAGGTGGGTTGCTTTCTGTCCTCATATTGACAGAGGAAGAAGAACTTTGCAATGGTATTCAAGCAGTACTGGCAACTACTGGTGATTCTGAGGTCATCAAGAGAGGAATTTTTTGTTGTCTCCTAGCAGAACCAAAAATAACCCCATTTGGAATAAAAAGAGGGGGGAAAAAAGACAGTAAGAAACCCAGCCTAAACCCCAAAACCAAACCCAGGTTTGTCACCTGCCCCTCAAGGAAGACAAGGCACCTTCATCAAGCGGTGATCAGCTCTCYTTAGCTGCCTTTCTCACCACCCAAAGCCCTCACACATCACTGTGCCACTGTGCATGACAAGAGATGATTCCTCAGTGGGATGGGGCACCCTAACACCTTTCTAATACCCACATCAAGTTTATTGTCATACTGCTAGAATAGGCTGCCTTGTAATACCTGTTATTCCCCAAAATGGAAATGGGGGTCTGAGGGAACCCTAACTTTAGGTATCACCACCACAGTGGAGAATTTATTCACTGCAGAACACTCCAGACAGGTTTTCATTCAAAAACATAAGTCATACAGCTTTTAACACAGAGCTTAGGCATTAGATTTTTCTCCTTGTGTCTGCTACCTTCTCTAGGAATCACTCTCATACAGTCTGCTTTTAATGTGTGGAATAAAATCCATAAAATGCATTGGATCTGAAGGATACGACTCAGTATAGCAACCACATTCTCACTTCAATTTAGCACTGCATACAATTCGAATATTTTTTTCATCAGAAACAAAAAACAAAACTTGAAGATTCCATCATTTTCTGCCAGTATTCTTAAAGCTATATAAAAAAGAAAACATATGAATAGTTCTTAATTTTTATTGCTTCATGCACAGCTCTCACAGATGACAAAATTGTGAAATGGCATGAAAAAAAGACCACTCTTGAATAAAGGTAACAAAAGTCATTGCTCTTCTCTTAAGGTTGAAAGTCAATTCAGAACAGCAGCTATCRCACATGGAACCAGATTCTGCAGCCTGTATTARCRTTTTTRGGGCAGATGGATATTTGAGGGATAMAATTCTGTTATAAGCAAACCAATGATAKATATGAACAAGCTTTGAGAGATACACTTATTTTTATAAAATCTACTGTAATAACAATTTTGTTGTCAGAATACTTTTCATTGCCATAAGGGGAGCCTTGGTTTTACAAGAATCATTATATGAGGATGCTCTGTGTAGGTGCCATAACCAGTATAACATTCATATGATGTTGTGAAGGCATTTGCTTGGAAAGAGGAGCATGAAGAGRTTTTGTAAATGACAACGAGTCTGGCAGAACTGAAAATCCACAGTGTACTTGCAGGGGTGGCAGCAAGGCACTGGAGTAAGTGGATTGTCACCATGTTAGTTTTGATGAGAGGATGACTAACRTACAGTGACTAAGCTGATGACTAAGAGATGAGGGAGAGAGTGGAACATTTTGGAAAGGAGCTCGCTGTTAAGAAGAAAATGCCCAGAAGTTTTGGAAAAGTGTCAAGTCTTGGGGGMTGTTTGTATTGAAGCTCTATTTTGGGAGCTTTATCTGTTGCTGCTTGAAACTTAYGGGTTTAAAAGAAACCTCTACAATTCTGAAGAACACACACTTGATCTTTCTGTCTTGAGTTAACACTATTATTTGAAGAAAAGTAAATCTTTTTTAAGTAATTCAAAATCCCATMATTTGGTTCCTTTTCTTCTCCTTTGGAAGCAAGTGTTATTCCTGCAGCAGCTCATTAGGCATGCAAGTGTCTGTGCTTCAGCTATCCCACCTTTCAGTGGAGATCCTGGCACATAATTTCATCTCCCATGAAGTGCAGTTCACCAGCTGAGCCATTCAGGATTCTTGGCTTTTAGAAGAAATATCTATAGACAGAGCTGGTATCTCCAATCTATTTAAGATTCCTGGACTGGAAATCAGAAAATCATTGGTAGTTGTGACTGTCAGGAGTACAGTAAAACTGAAGTGTTTGCCTGCATGCCTGGAGAGCCTGGTTCATCCTGAAGAGCCTACTCTTTTAATGTGATTTTTACATATTTTGTGTTCCTGGGAGAGTGGGAAGTCGGGCTCATCCTTTCTAAAATATTTTCAAGTAGAGGGATTTTGTRTCCTTTTGCAAATAAATTGTCTAGGCTGGAAATCATAGGCCTCTTTGGCCCTCAGCCAGGTTAAACTGTGTATATATACCTTAACATCAACCATCATCTTGGACACCAACAGATCCTGATGTTTAAAAAGTGAATAAATCTTGCTCTCAGTTTAATAAAACACAGATGGGAAAAGCAAACCAAACAGCGAGTTAACAGCTCTATTCACTAGTCTCCTGGGCTCCATGTGATTAAATCAGCATTGGAGGGTATGTTCCTGCTGCTGCTGTTCTGGCCAGTGTCCGSAGGGGTGATGGCCAGCAAAGGAGAAGCACTCTGTCAGAGCTGCATGTCATTTGTCAAGCTGAGGAAAAACAGTCACCTCGCAGAACAACAAGACTTCTGGCCATACACAATCCCAGCAAATGCTGCAGCTCTACAGCATGACACCCATGCTGCAGGAATTTTGCTCAGCYATGGGAACAGACTTTAAAACTGCCTCCCAGATTCATAACTTTGTTTCAGAATGCTGATCTGAGTAGTGCTTTCTGGTCTTTAAAACTCCATCCTTTTCTTTCATTCCAGATTAGAGGTAAACTCCTCYAGTTGTACACATCAAGCCTCAGTATTCTCAATCACTGCTCTATTCTACAGATAGGAAATTAAGACTTGGTTTTTCTTTTCCTTTTTAGGTTTCATTAGCATTTATAGAKGGATCAGGAGACCTGCCATAAAGAAGAAGGTAGTACATCCAGCTACAGAGATAAAACATTTTYATGGTCTTTATAATTCAGAAAATATTAAATTAGCTCTTGTGAAAAGTCTGACATCCATATATTGATATAAACTTACTTATTGTATGGATTTGTAGATTTAGACAAGGGGAATTGTTATCAGGTTTTGYCCGCTACTACTTTTTTTTTTTTTTAATTCCTTTTAGGATACTTTCCATATGACAAGAGACAAGTAAAGATAGGATTAATGTGCCTGGGCTGCTTACTCTGTCATTAAAGTTCCTTAAAATTTTCCAGTAGCCTTTCTTCAGGACATTTTTCTTCTTTCTCACAATTTTTCACATTCTAGACTTCAATGCGTTGCCTCTATGAAACTTTGTCCACTTTGTTTAATTTCAGATTTAATGCTTCCAGAGAGAGAGAAAAAGGATATCTTTTTTTTTCCTGCAGCTGTGCCTAAAATCTCTCACAGAACATCTTTAGAAGTATGTTTTCTTTGAAAGTCCTCTGAGAATAGGTTAACTTGAGCTGGTTTTACTGCAGGTTTTCYTTTTTTCTTTTGCTTCTGATTAGCTTTATTTATTTAATCACATTTATGTGTTTCTGCTATGGTAACCGCAATAAGAAGAGTACTTTCTGACCCATGYTTTAGAAGTTCCTTGCTGTTTTGAAATAGCAAGTTTAAAAAGTCTGAGGTTTGCCTGTTTTTACCTTTTTTTTTGTTTGTTTTGTTTTTCATTGGATATTTTTCCCTAACAGTTCACCCATTTTTGTGTAGTTTATGTTTATTTTGTAGAGGAAAGGTAAGAATGTGAGACAATGTCAACAGTAAACAAAACAGACCACAGAAGACACACAGATCTACACAAAATATCCACAGCAAGATTATGTGGCRCAGCACATACTCCTCTGCAGAAAAATATTCACCATTACCCTAAATAATAATRCAAACCAAAAAATTAAAACAAAACAAAAAAGCTCAYCCTAATGAGGGTTTCAAAACTTTGAAAAGCAGCTTAAATGTGAGGTGCAAAAGGTTTAGTCCCAATTGGTCAAAAAAAGTGCTCATTATCCATTATTGCAAACGACAGACCTTTGGCATTCACACCTTTCCTCCTGCTGCAGGCACTGCAGACACTTCTTGCTTCTCCCCTTTCCCATCCACCTGACTCCACGCCTGACTGTGCCTGCCATTCCCACAGCTTTCCCAGATGACATCCTTCATCCTTCCTATTTGCAGGAAATCAGAGCAATCATTTACCTGCATGTGCCTTCCCTAAGATAACTCAAGGCATCTAGGCAGGGCAAAACACCATTGTGGTCATGGAAAGAAAACTCACCAGCTAATTAACATTTCAGCATTTAAAAATCAAGCATTATTTATTAGATTGTTACAGCAAAGTGCTGGTAGCAATCAGTGGCAACTGTGGCTGTCAAAACATTTAAGTAATAAAACTCCCAGTCTGTGTGGGACATGGAGAATGACGCCTCTTCATTTCATCCTGATAAGCAAGTGTAACCAGGTTAACTGAAAGGAAGCATAAAGAGACCTAGCACTCCCTGAAAATCTGCTCAGCAATCACATGCAAACACTAAAAACAGAAAATATGCCCCAGTTTGTCTTTTTTTTTGTTTGGGTCTTTTACTAAGAGAACAAAGAATAAGCAATCAAGTAGGTAAGGCATGCACRTCTGGGAAATAATGTTGAAAAGGAACCAGCACTGGCTACATCAAAATGCTAGGCTGAGA